CCCAGCACCACATGCCAGCCAGCCCTGCCCCCTGGTGGGCTGAGCTGGCCACACACACACACACACACACACACACACACACACACTTAAATAAAATTATTAAAAAATAAATAAAATGCTGTGGAAGGGCTTGGGAGATAGCTTGGTGGTCTAAGTGCCTGCCTGGCAAGCACCAGGGCCTGGATTCAATCCCTGGGGGCCCCATGCTGGCTAGGGAAACTGGGCGTGGTGGTGCACACCTATAATCCCAGCACTGGGGAGGCTGAGGCAGGAGGATGACTATGAATCTGAATCTGAGCTTTGTAGTGAGACTCTGTACCAAATAAATAGATAAAAAGATTAAAAATAAATAAACAAAATGCTCTGGAAAACTATGTTTCTCTACCTGAAGCTCAGCATACCTTGTTTTTTTCTTTTTGCAGAACTGGGGATTGAACTTGGGCCCTTGCGCTTGCCACGGAAGCGCTTATTCCACTGAGCCATCTCCCTGGCCCCCACACCTTGGTTTTCTTTTAATTTTTATTTATTTGTGTGTGTGTGTGTGTGTGTGTGTGTGTGTGTGTGTGTGTGGCCAGCTCAGCCCACCAGGGGGCAGGGCGGGCTGGCATGTGGTGCTGGGGGATTGAACCGCGGTCCCTGTGCTTTGCTTAGCTTGTTCCAAGTAGGTGCTTTAGACCACTGAGCCATCTCACCAGCCCCACACCTTGGTTTTCTTAGCCCACTTTTTCCCAGTCAGTATGGCCTCTGGAGGGCTTCAGTTCTACCATAACTTCATTGCTCTCACAGCCCCAATCTGCTTCAGGCTCCTGGGGATTTCCCTCCCAGTTTGGTAAGATCAGCCCTGCTTACAGGATGCTCACTGTATGTTTCTAGCTTTTCTAGTATTTGGGGTAGGGAAGATAGGATTTCAAGTTAATTTGTCCACTATATGTCTGGCACTGGAATGTCTCCATCCAAAACTACAACATGTAAAAAATATTAGTAGACCAACCACAGAGGCACACACCTGTAGCTCCAGCTTCTTGGGGAAACTAAGGTATTAGGATGGCTTCAGCCCAGGAGTTCAGGACCACCTGGACAACACAGTGAGCACCTGTCTCAGTCAGCTGGGAAGACAGGTGTGTGTAACAACTGGGGTATGAGCTGCCTTTAAAAAAACAAAACAAAACAAAACAAAAAACAACTTTGTCTGTCTTCCTTTCTCTTTCTCTCTCTCTGTCTCTCTTTCTTTTTGGGATAGGGTTTCACCTCGCAGTTCAGGCTAGCTTTGAATTAGTAGCCCAGGCTGGCCTCAAACTCCCAGCAATTTTCCTGTCTCAGTCTCCTGAGTGCTAAAAGTGCCTTTAATATTGCTAATGCAACACAAATCAGAATTAAAAGAGCTGGCTATTAACTCATCTGGACAGCTAACTAACGGTCAACCAGAGTAAGAAACACCCAACTGATTGAGTCAGCAGGGCTCTGGGCAAGGCTGAGGGGATTTACTGCAGGGAGAAGACCCACCCTGTGGTATGAGTGGTGCCACCCAACAGGATGCCACCTGAATGGCATAAAGGGGAAACAAAAAAGGAAAGATCCCTGCTGTTTCTCAGGGGAGTGCCAAGCCTCACCTTCAGCTTGGACATCATCTCCGCCATCTCCTCACATCCAGGGCAGACTTGCATGGGACACCACACTGAGCTCCTTGCCTTGACTGGATCCTTTGGATTTCTGGGGCACAGCCCCTCCCCTTCTGTGCTTTCCCACCTAACTGCGGGCGGCCACTGTAAGCCCACCTGGCAGATTCTTGTATATTTGTGTATCTTGCATCAAATCTGTTTGTCTAGTAAGCACTGACACACAGGTTAACTAAAAAAACTGGATCCACAAAATAGGTATAGGATTAAGTGTTTATTAAATCACGCTTTTAAATTATACATCCACCTATGGTCTGTAAACAATTACAGTACACATGTAAGTAAAAGCCCAGCAAATCAGAACCAGTGGAAGTATCAAAGTTCCTCGGCACACTGGCACCTTGCCACAACGCTCTCCTTAGCCAAAACACAGGGCAATGTTACTGTTAAGAGTTAATTGAAAAAACCAGCCCAAGTCCATCTCTCTTCTAGCATGGACTTCAAACATGGATTTGTTCCACACTACAGTAGGGTAGATGATAGCAAGGCAACAGTGTAGTTTTAACATTCACAGATTGGCTTAGATATCAAGTTTCTAATCAAGGTATTCCTTGATTAGATTCCAAGGTATTCTTCCCTATTACCATAATTAGTAAGAAATATGAGATAAAAATAAATGACAGACCATAGGTGGTTATAAAAATAGATGACTCATAGAGTAATAAATATCTACAATTAGTAGAGCATAAACTTATAAAATTTACTTTTTTCCATAATGTGCAGATTACTATAAAGTATGTTCAAGAGGTGCAGTGAGCAGATGTCAGAGTCGGAAGAGGGTGTTTGTAAAGAATGAATGTTTATTCAAGTACAAAACCCAAAGTAGGAAGCTGATGCAGGTGAGAATCCACAAAACACACGAAATCCTAGCTCCTCACAACATGTTATCCTACTTCGCAGACACACCACAATTAGCTTCAGCCCTTTTTATATCTTAAAAAGTAACTCTTTGTTACCTATATACAAACTTTTAAAAAATTTATCAAGAGACACGCAAAGTTGATTAACAGGGCAGTAAAACCGCTGAAACTCCTAACATTTTGTGTGCTTTCATACACTTCTGTGTATGGAGTTTGAAATGCCCAAAGAGTTTTAGATGAGAGTTTTAAAATACCCACAAAAAATGTATTATATAATTATTTCACCTGTGAGAGTATCAAGCCAGGATGGGGAAGGGGAAGCAGATCTCAGGAAGAAACTCATGATGAATATAGACGGGACATTTACATGTTGTTTTAATTATGGAATGCTATGCAAGGTAAGTGGAATGCTATTCTGACAGCAATCTCATTTCAGAAGGTACAGTAATTCCCATCTAATTCTAGAATTAAAAGCACTTACTCCACATAATGTGCGTTTCAGCAAAGTTGGCATCTACTTGGTTAGACTTGCCAGTGTCACCTTAAAGCTTCATCAAAGATTCATGGCAGACTTCAGCTGTAAAGTCCAGAACTAATATCAGGTATTCATCTTCCTTTCTCACAAGGTCTACTCGAATTGTCCAAATGTCACCTTCGATGACAGTGGTGTTCTCTAGAAACCTTTGCTAGTTTAGTTTCTGGGCCAAAATACCTCTGAGGCCTAACATGTTTGGGACTTCGGTTAAGCGTCCAGGCTCCACTGACATCCTAACACACTTCCTACACCTTCAGGAGGGGCATGCACATGCAGCTTCTCTACATCTCCTGTCCTTTCAGGAGACCCTGGAACATTCACTGGTGCCCAGGACATTCTGGGCAGATGGTCTAAGGATGGCCAACCAAATTTTCTACAGTAGTGGTTCTCAAATTCTAGTGATCACCAGAAACACACAGAAGACAGGCTGAAACCAAGGTGCCAGCCCAGAGGTATAGGGTGGCACCTCTGGGCCTGGGAGCCTGATTTTATTCCCTTGGTATTGGGAGTGGAACCCGGGGCCTCACTCATGTTAAGCAACTGTTCTACCACTGAGATACACCCTCAGCCTTTTTAAAATTTTGAGACAGGATTGTTGTCTAGGCTGCACTTGAACTTGGACCTTCCTGCCTTAGTCTCCTGAGTCGCAGGGATACCAGGTATATGCCACCATGCCCAGCTTCAAAATGTGCATTTCTAAGAGGTAAGCTGATGCTGTTGGATGGGGAATCATACTTGGAGTGGTGACCATCAAGACACCAGCCCACACAATTGGCAGCTGCAGGAAGCCCCCTTGTGGCCTCAGGAAAGGCTGCACATGCATTTGCTACAACTCATCAGCCTGGACCGGGGACACAGCTCAGTGGCATAAGCACCTGCCTGGCAAGTGCAAGGTCCTAAATTCAATCCCTGGTACACCCCCCACTCCCAACAAAAAACAAAACAAAACAATCCAACAGCCTGAGGTCAGGTGAGTCTGGTGACATCTTAGAAAGTCCTATGCCTTGGCAGGGTGAAGGGACACTGCACTTGACTCCCGGCCTACCCCTACTCACCACATGACCAGGTGTAGTGATGACATCTTAAAGGAGGAGCAGCCCCCTCAGGGATTCTGCGAGGTTTAAGAGAAATGTTGGCAAAGAAGCACCACCTAACACAAGCATCGTCCGAGCGTGTGTTAGAGGACCGAGTGGTTCACAGCAGGACATTCTCAGGTTTCTGACTTCTGCTACCACTGTGTCTTTACTAAAGCACGTTCCTGCGGCTAGAGAAGAGAAAGGTGCCTACAGAATGCAGAACACTGCAGTGGAGAGCAGTGTGGATACTTAATGTAAAACACGTAATTGTTTGAAAAAAGAGGAATCCACCATCAAAGTATTAGTTGATTATGCTGGTTTTGAGACAGTGTTTAAAAGTTAAATATGGTGATCTTTGAACACCCTTTCTCTTCAATTGAACCCACCATTTTTATGCTGCTTAAATTTATCATCAAAAAATGAGAAAAAATTTAGCTGAGATAATGCCAATCATATAGACTACATAGTAGGGGAGTTTTAAATGCAATCTTTTTTTCTTTTTTTGGTGGTACAAGAGATCAAACTCAGGACCTTGCGCTTGCCAGGCAAGCACTTATTCCACTGAGCTATCTCCCCAGTCCTAAATGCAACCTATATTAAAAGGACATACAATTTTAGTTTATAGAAACACCCACAGAATGAACAATGCACACACATGTGCACACACACACATTCACATGTGTGTTAAGTTGTTGCCCAGTACATCTTAGCCAATGAATTATTCCTCCTAATTAAAAAAGTGAATTTGTCGGGGCCGGGGAGATGGCTCAGTGGAATAAGCACTTCCCTGGCAAGCACAAGGGCCTGAGTTCAATCCCTGGTTCCGCAAAAAAAAAAAAAAAAGTGAATTTGCAATAATTCATAGATATCCATGATGGGAGAATAGTCAAGCAAACATCTTGTTGCTAAGTCTTGGTTTCCATATGAATCCAAAATTCCCATGGGAGAGGCAGAACGGTCCCCAGCCCGGCACGTGGTTCACTTTAGGTGTGCTCTGGATGGCTCTGGAGACAGGACAGCATCTCCGAGACGGGTCTGCCTTCGTAGCAGATCTGATACACTGCAGTGAACAGAGGAAACCTGGGCAGGAGGAAAGGTGAAAAGACAAGGTCAGGCCAGCTGGCTCAGCTCCTGAGGACGGTCTTCTGTGCTGTGTACCCATCTGCACCGAGGCACTGCACACTGCGCTGCAAAGCACAGCGACCACTCTCTGCAGCCCTCTGCCATCTGGCCTGCAGGGTGTCAAGCCTCTGCACTGCACGTGCTAGGCCCCGGGACCACGCAGATCACCCTCTGCCCCATAAGCCTGCAGTGCATGCTCTCACAGGTCGCAAGGTCACCCCTCTTGGACACGAGGTGGCTCATTTACAGAAAGAGCTGTGGCTCAGCACATGGCCAAATCTGGGATGGACCCAAGTTTCTGTCACTTTTTGAAAGATTAAAGATGAATTTTAAATTGCAAGGAGGTATTGCTCCCTCTTCCCTGAAAAGGGTCCTCCCTCCAAGGCAGGAGGCCACCCACACGCTGCCATAAATAGCTCAGGCGTGGAACACCCACAAGCCAAGTAACGTCCACAGTTAGCAAGGCCCTACCTCACCTGCCACTCCTCAGGCGTGGACACATGTAAGTGAAAGTGTGACATGGACAAGGGGACGAACAAGCAGGTACTAAGCCACTGCAAGAAAAGGCAGTATCCCAGGCTACAGCCGGCTCTGCACCCTGGGATACTACTTTTTTTTTTTTTTACACATGTGTGTGTGTACATACACACACACACACACACACACACACACGCAGAGTAAAATAAGCTTGACAGAATCAATAGAGCCTTAATAGCCATTCTGAAAATTACCTGAGTAGAATACTTTAATGACAATTTAATTTAAGAACAAATAATCCTAGGATATCACATGTCTTTCTGAGTCCATCACTGGAGGATTTTTAAGGTGTGGACTGCTATGGTATCATGTGGAGTCAGTGGGTAGAACCAAATCTGACTCCTAGGTTGCACACTCTGCCAAGTTTTACTCTGCTCCTGACTTGCTTCCCCACCTACGAGATGGGGCTGGCAGCTGGCATGTGTATCAGATGCCTTGTGTCGAGTGCTGGTGAGGCCTTTGGTAGGCAGTGGGCATTCATAATGACAGCCTGTAACTGCAGCCACAGAGTGGCTGTGGGTCAGAGACAGCAGACTCCATGCGGAGAGCTGAGGCTGCCTGTTCATCACTGCATGGTCAGTGCCTGGCGCGGTGCCCAGCGAGGGCAGCTCCTCAGTATTTCTCCAGTAATTCCTGTGAATTCAATGTAGAGCCTGGAAGCCACAGCTCCCCCACTTCTGTGCTTCCTGCCTTAGCTTTTCTATTCCTAGGATGAGAACATGGTGTGTGTCCCCAAAGCAGTGTGGCAGGTGATGACTGGCCACCCACAGGCATTCCCAGCCCCCCTAGCCACCTGGTTCTTGCTGAGGTTTCTGGGGAAGATCTTCATCCTCTCTCCTTCCAAGTCACTGGAGGAGAAACTGCTACTCTGGACTGCTCCTGTTCCTCCCAAGAGCAGCTGTGTCACATGTGAGGCTCGGAGTGACTACAGCCACCCTGAGGTTCTAGAGGGGGTGCAAGGGCCTCACAGATTTTCATCCAATGGCACTGAGCCAACATCAGCCAAGTTCACCTTGGGGCCTCTGATAGCAGAACACTGCTCCTATGCTGAACACACTTCCAGTTCTTTTATTTTTTATTTAGTACAGGGTCTACAAGGGTCTCACAAAGTAGATTGGATTTGTAGTGATCCTCCTGTTTTCAGTCTCCCAAGCACTGGAATGACAGGCGTGCACCACCACACCCAGTCTCCTTTGCCATCTCAGCACACCCCAGAGGGAGGGCTGGCACTGCATGCCAGGGATAGATCCCCAGTCCCTGCACTCTGCCTAAGCAGATGCTTTGGTCCACTGAGCTATCTGGCTGGCCCTAGCATTTCTAGCTTTTAAACCCAGCACTTCTGAAATGTATTCTGTAGAAGCAACATTAATGAGATATGCAGTGTGTGGGGGAGGGGGGACTTCTAGTGTCAAGTAACCCCCCCAACCACCCTACAAGGTAGGAAATAATATTCTGGGGCCGTGGAGATGGCTCAGTAGAATAAGCACTTCCTGGGCAAACACAAGGGCCTGAGTTCAATCCCCGGTTCCGCAAAAAAAAAAGAAAGGAAATAATATACTACAGATGAGGAAGCAGAGGTACGGTTTCAGACCCTCAGCCAATGCTCAACCACAAACCTACACTTCATTTAAATGTTACTTTTCTAGGGCCTGGGGAGGTAGCTCAGTAGATGCGCAAGGGCCTGAGTTCAATCCTCAGTTCCGAAAAATAAATAAATAAATAAATAAATAAATAAATGTTACTTTTCTATAACATAAAGTGCTACAAGGCCACTTACATCTTTTTTTTTAATTGTTTATTTTATTTTATTTTATTTATTTGTGTGTGTGTGTGTGTGGCCAGCTCAGCCCACCAGGGGGCGGGGCTGGCTGGCATGTGGTGCTGGGGGATTGAACCGCGGTCCCTCTGCTTTGCTAAGCTTGGTCTAAGTAGGTGCTTTAGACCACTGAGCCATCTCACCAGCCCTGCCACTTCCATCTTAAATAAAGTTTGAGGTAAAAGGAGGACATACGGTACTATTTCATAGAAAAGAGTTGACATAAACCAATTAGCCATCCGACCAAGGGATGCTGGGGACTGAAGGTGTTAGGCTTCAGGCTGCTGTGGGGATGTGCAGGCTATGAATAAGGCCCAGCCCCTGGGAGCTCACAACACCGCCAGGGGCCACAGTGTGCCCTCCCTCCAGGTCATGGGCTGAGTCTTCACCCCAGGACCCCCATACGTGGGTTCTGATGCCAGGCCTTTACAGAGCACTCAAGTTAACATGAAGGCACTGATGTGCTCTTCTAAGAAGAGGATGCAGGACACAGGCAGGTACAGCCAGATGAAGTGAAGACACAGTGGAAGACAGCCATTAGAGGCTAAGGAGAGAGACCTCCAAAGATCCCAACCCTGCCAACATCTTCATCTCGGACTGCCAGCCTCCAGAACTAAGAAAGGATTCATGTTATTGTTCAAGCCACTCAGCCTGTGATGCTGTGTTATGAGACAGTTCTAGCAAATGCAAACACCTTAGCTTCATACGCACACACACACACACACACACACACACACACAAAGGCTGACACAACAAATTTTATAACAGTAGAAAATCCTGAACAGCTTTAATATCTCTTAGGAGGTGACTGGCTAAATAGTTTCTCCATCTAGTAGAGTAATCCATAGCCATTAAAGAAAGAGATCTCTGTGAAGATGTGGACCAAACTTCAGAACAACCCATAGGGTGAAGAAAAGCAAGAGATAGGGCAGTTCGCAGAGACTACTACCCATCACATGGACAAAAGGCCACAGAGAAAGGTACCCTAGAAACTGGAAAACGCCACATCGAAGGCAGAAGTCAAGACTTCTTTAAACTTCACTGTACACTGCATGGTCTTTCTTTCTTTCTTTTTCTTTCTCTCAGTTTTCCCCCCCAAATCTGTAGCTTTTTTTTTTTTTTTTTTTTTTTTTTTTGCTGATCCAGTGATTGAACTCAGGCCTTTGTGCTTGCCAGGCAAGCACTTATTTTACTGAGCTATGGGGACCTGGCCCTCCCCTCCAAATCTGAAGGCTAAAAGTAAAATAATACATCTATATAAATAAATATCTATGTTCCCCACACCCAGGGTTGGCGAGCCACAGCCTCAGCACTGCTTCCAGCCTGGGCCTTGTTTTTGTGCTACCTGCATGCCAGGAATGAGCTCTGTATTTTAAATTGCCATGAAAGAGAAAAGGAGGAGGAAAAGAAGTGATGAGGCCTGTGTGCGGCCTGGAAGGCATACCCGCCCAGTGGTTCTCTATAGAAGACATTTGCCGAGCACTGGTCCACACAGTGAGTTCTGGGCAGGGACGGTTCCTTGCAGCAGAACATGAAGAAGGCTTCTGGGTGGAGAGGCCTGGCCTGCCAGTGAGGGCGCTGGGCCTGAGGTTTGCTCAAGCAGGGCGCCCAGACAGACACACCCTAAAGACCCTCAGAAAGCCGGGCAGGTACTAGCCAGAGGCAGTTGCCGAAACGCCAACCTGCAGGCTGTATTTGATTCTGTAAGAGCTGGAGGCCTCCAAGTTGGCAGTCATCTGGCCATGCTTTTAACTTATAGACAAGCTCATTGGGACACCAAACAGCAAAAAACATGATTTGCCCAAGACCACGTGGCTCATATGCCATAAGGTATCTCTGAATGCTGCTCTCCTGCTCACCCAATCTATAGCCCTGAAGAAGAAAGGGGGTAGGGGCAGGATACAGAGGGACAGGGTGGTGATGATGAAAGTGAAAAAAAAAATATTAAGGTGGGAGCAGCACAGAAGGTGACTGACAGAAGGACTGGCCTCTGCAGTGCGGATCAAGAAGCAAGGGGTGCTGGAGAAGGCGGTCCTGGCGCCATCCCTCCAACCCCAAAGCAGGAGCCTACCCACGCCATTCTGCACAGGTACGCCCGGCTTAATTTGTCGTCAGGAGAACTGAAAGGATACAGCTGGAAAAGTATGCATTCTGGGCAGCTCGGCCTGAGGCTAGGTAGCCACCCCTCAGCACCTTTCCCAAAGGGCTAATGGCAAGCAGACCAGTAGTGCCAACCTGCCCCCCAACAGAATCCTATCCAAAGCTCCACTTGGTAGCACACAGAGGCCACTTGAAAATCCTGCTTGGGAGACTCTTGCCATCACCAAACATGTAAGGAGTTTAAAACTAAAAAATTCCTGAGTAGCTGCACATGCTTCTCATTCCCAGATACTTACTTGGGAGGCTGAGGCAGAAGAATCACAAGTTCAATTCCCAATAGGCAGTCAGTCAATAAAATAAAAATCCTGATAAATACTCAGTGGTTGTTACAGTAGCTCTACCACATAGCAACAGATCAGTGTCCATTAAGCAATAAGGAAAACCACGCATGGCATAGAAGCCCTCCTCTTGGTCACAAGTTAAGATCCTTCCCTTCCTCCTGTCTATGAACCTCTACTCTCCTGGGTGGCTTTAAAAGCCATTTCAGGGCTGGCCAAACAGCTCAGTGGATAAAAGCGCCTGAAGGGGCCAGGAGTGCTGGCCCCACCCCCGGGGCACCCTGAGACAGCAATTGAGGCTGGGTGTGGTGGCGTGCACTGTAATCTCAGCATTTGGGAGGCTATAAACAGGTAGATCACTGGGTCTGATCTAGTAGTGAGACCCTGAACATCTTGTAGACCCTTCCCCCAAAATACAACAAAACAAAACAAAAAAGTCACTTTAGAAAATACAGTACAAATTAAAAGGGGAAGGGCTGGTGAGATGGCTCAGTGGTCTAAAGCACCTACTTAGAACAAGCTTAACAAAGCACAGGGACCGCGGTTCAATCCCCCAGCACCACACGGCAGCCAGCCCCGCCCCCTGGTGGGCTGAGCTGGCCACACACACACACAAATAAAAAAAAAATTAAAAAAAAAAAAATTAAAAGGGGAAGACTAATGCCCCACCGATTCGGACTTTTCACTGGGAACTCCACGGCTGCTAATTTTGACTGAGCAAGAGGATGGGTGGAGCTGAGTGCAGTGAGGTGAAGATGCACTGTGGGAACCAGCAGACAGCTGGGCTGAGCCAGAGCGAAGGCAATGCCACCAGAGTTGTGACGGTTTGTGTCTGGACGTCCCCCAAAGCCTCACGAGGGCACAGGCGACAGGCTTTTCAGAGGCAGCTGAATTTAGAGTTCGGTCATTGCTTCATTGTCTAGCGCTGGCATGGGGTGTGAGTACTCTACACCCCACAAGGTGGGGAGCCTGCATATGATATAAGGAAGGCAAAGCTTGTTTCTCTCATTCCTCTCCTGTTGCTTCTGGTATCTTCTGCGGCCATGAAGAATTTCCCCTCTGCCATGCCAGCCTGCCTTGGGGCCAGCTGATTATGGACTGAAACCTCTATAAACTGTGAGCTAAATAAACCTTTCCCCCTTTAATCTTTGGTATTGGGTATTTTGTCTCAGCAATGAGAAAACTAAAACAGACATCAGCTGCAAACTACCTCCTGGCTGAAGAGAAATATACATTCTAGATAAGCCCCAACTAACGGCATCAACACAGCTGCCCAGCACTCTGTAATCCCAGATAGTCAAACTTTCCGATACTTCCCCAGGAACTATTGGGGGAGGAGAGGAGACACAGTATTATAGTTTGGATATGAAGTGCCCCAAGTCCATGTGTTAAAGACTTGGTCACCAACCTGAGCTGGGACCTTTAGGAGGAAGGGCCTACTGAGAGGCAAATAGGCGAGGTCACTGGAAATGTACCATTGAAAGGGATGTAAAACCTGGCTCCCTCCTCTCTTTCTGTCCTAGTTTCAATGAGGTGAACAGTCTCCTCCGCTGTATGTTCCAATCACGACATACTGTGCATCTACAGTCCCAAAGTGACAGTGTGAGCAACCATGGACTAAAAGAACTGAAACCTTAAGTCAAAATAAACAATTTCTTTCTTTCTTTCTTTTTCTTTCTTTTTTTTTTTTTTTTTGCGGAACTGCGGATTGAACTCAGGCCCTTGTGCTTGCCAGGAAAGCGCTATTCCACTGAGCCATCTCACCGGCCCCAACAATTTCTTTTTATGTTGATTTGTCAAAGTATCTGTTATGCTGACCAGCAGGTATGCTGCGCAAGGCTAAGAGGTGCCAGTGTCATGGTCCCGGGGGCAGCTCCGTCGCTCAGTAGGATGGAGGGCTGTGTGGGAGGCAGCCCGAGAGGTTAGGCAGCTTGTGATGCTGCAGGGCCTACTCCTCCAGCGGTGACCAGCCCACCTCACATAGGCCTGGCCCCAAACGGAAGGGGAAGGCAGATCCAGGCAGCCAGTCACTTGCACAACCAGAGATGGCAAGGCTGTGCACCCAACCTTAACCAGGTCTCTCAGGGAGCAGAATTCTGGGATAGGTTGTCTTTCCTTGTTTCCTGAAATGTTTGATATTTTATTCATATGTCTTTTTTTTTTAAAATCTTTTATGTATTTATTTGGTACAGGGTCTCGCTACACACTCGTAGTGATCCTCCTGTCTCAGCTTCCCCAGCACTGAGATTACAGGTGTGCACCACCACACCCAGTTTTGGTGGCCAGCTCAGCATGCCCAGGGCAGGGCTGGCACAACATGTGTACCAGGGGTCAAACCTGAGTCCTTGTATTTGCTAGGCAGCTGCTTAGATTGCCAGGCTATCTCTCTGACCCCTTTTATTTTTTGAAAAAGTAATTATTTTTTAAAAATTTAAAACTTGAGGGAAAAAAAAACAACTTGAGGGGCTGGTGAGATGGCTCAGTGGTCTAAAGCACCTACTTAGAACAAGCTTAGCAAAGCAGAGGGACTGCGGTTCAATCCCCCAGCACCACATGCCAGCCAGCCCCGCCCCCTGGTGGGCTGAGCTGGCCACACACACACACACACACACACACACACACAATTTAAAACTTGGGCTGGCCAAATAGCTCAGCAGATTAAAGTGCCTGCAAGCAGGCACAGGGGATAGGGGTTTGATCCCCAGGCCTGTTATGCTGGCTCTGCCCCTGGGGCATGCTGAGATGGCAACTGAGACTGGGCACGGTGGCGCACACCTGTAATCCCAGCTCTTGGGAGGCTGTAAACAGGAGAATCATTATGAGTCCGATCTAGTAGTGAGACCTTGAACACCCTGTAGACCTTTCCCTAAAAAACAGAAAAAAAAAAAATTAAAACTTATGACACATATCTCTTCCTGAACTGCCCTATCAGACAAACTATAATCTAAAAGTTCATATAATACTCCTTATATATTGTAATACTCCTTATAGATCTCACTTAAGTTGAAACTTATGTTGCATAAACACTTGTATTTGGGATAGGAAGGTGCTTCCTGTCATAGATGTTCACTTTACACAGAGGACTCCTCTAACCTAGTACAGTCCTAGGTCCACTTGTCAAACGGTGGTGCTCCTCTGTTGGGAGCCACTGTCCCAGGTGATGGGGTGGGCTTACTTGTCCGTGAGTCCCTTCTGCTTGAGGATGCGGTACACTTCTGCAGAAGTCTGAGGTCCTTGGAGCTTCTGCCCATTCAGCATCTCCTTCTCCAATTCTTCAATAGTCTTAAAAGCAAAGGATAATATATCTACGGTAAAGACTAGAGAACCATTGATTTCAAGGGAAAGTGGGGCAGGAGGGCTTCTATCCCTCTGCAAGCCAAAGAAAGATAAAGACATATAAAGACCAGAGGAGTCCCATGAAAACACCAGGGGCAAAGGGCAGGTACAACATTGACCCTGGAGGTTGGAGGCAGAGGGGCAGGAGGGTAGGAGCTACCTTCCCTGTCCTGGCGAATGCCTCGGCCACCCTGCGGTTCCGCCCTCCATAGCAGGTGGTGATCAGGTCAGCCACCCCGCAGCTCTCCAGGAAGGTGGCTGTGGACACCTGGCCCTTGCAGAAGATCTTGGCAAAAGAGATCATTTCCATGAGGCCCAGGCGGATGACGGCAGCTTTGGTGTTGTCTCCGCAGCGGAGGCCATCACAGAAGCCGGCTCCCACAGCAACGATGTTCTGTAGAAGAGACAGGAAAGCCCAGAATGCTGTTAGGACACTCCAGTGGGTGAGTATGCAGAGGGGGACAGCTGGGAGATACTGGCTCTACCTCAAAAGGCCCAGCCCTGGCTCTCCTGGACCACGGCAGAAGATGAAGGGGGTGTGCCTTTTATCTTCCCATTTACAGAACCAAGTGGTAGTGGTACATCCAGTTAGCCAGACTTGTAATGGCTGATAACAGTCTTGGGTAAAACACAGTTTGGACAGACTACTTGCCTTTGGGTTGTTTTCAGTAAAACTGAGTGCTTTATTCAATTATAACATTTATAAGGAAAGTATACAAACTCTAAGGGTATTGCTTGATGAATTTTTGTAGTATTTTGAACACATATTGCCAGCTAAAAACAGGGGTGCAACCCATCCCCCAGAAAGTTCCCCGAGGATCCTTTTCAAATACCACTCCCCCAAGGCAAGCACTGTCTTCCCCTCTCACAGCATGGGCTGGTTTTACCAGTCTTTAAACTCCCTGTGCACGAAGCTGTTTAGTTTGCCATTTTTTGTGTCCAGCTTCTTTGTCTTGATTAACACCAAGTTTAAGGGACTGGGGAGATGGCTCAGTAGGATAAGTGCTTGACTGGCAAACGCAAGCATCTAAGTTCAATCCCCGGTTCCACCAAAAAAAAAAAACCCACCAAGTTTAAGGTGCGTCATGTCTTTCCATGCAGCACGTTCACTGCCAGTGCTGCCCAGTGCTCCCGAACAGCATCAACCCACACCATCTGCTGCATGCATGACAGCAGAGGGAGACACCCCTGGGTTGGTTCACTTTCTTTTTTCATGCAGGTTCACACACCATGTTGTCTAGCCTGACCTTAAACTTGTGAACCTCCTGCATCAGCTTTCAGAATGCTGGGATCACAGGCGTGCACCACCCCTCTCGGATGCCTGGTGCACTCTTCATGTCTGACAGCATGGTGTTAGGGAGAGAGGAAGGCAGTGTGAAAGGAGCCTTAGGAGATGCCGAGGGGCAAGGCAGGCTCTGGTTTGGCAGCTGTGTTCTGGAGGGAGGAGCTGCTGAATCAGGAAGCAACGTTGGTCCTTTCAGGATGGTGTCACTCAGAAACTAAGAGCTGGACCCCCAGAAGTCCTCCCTGCCCTCTGACCCTGGCCAATCCATCCTCCTCTCTAGGCCATTTTGCCTCAGATGTAGAATGTAGGGTTGCATGAAATTTCAAAATCTCTCCCAAAGTGACATTTCTCTAAAAAAGCTGGTGTACTTACAACTTGCACTGGGGATATGGTGGGATGGCATTTGGGGCTACAGGATGCTCCCTGGGGACTTGTGGGGGACTGAGGTCAGATAGGGTGAGAATGGGCCTATTACAGTTGCCATGGCAATGTGCCTGGGATAACTGGCCAGGTGGTGAGACTGCTGGACTTGCCCTCTGCTACTTCTTCTCTGTGTCCCTGTGTCCTCATCAGATCACTATGTGACCCGTTCTGAGGGCCAGCCCCAGGCAAGGTCTACAGGCTGAATGAATGTGAATGAGGACTTCCCCTCAGCTCCTGCTCCTGCAGACACAGCAGTGGGTACCTACGTGCGTACAGCAAGCTGCACCAGGTCAGAGGCACAGTCTCCATGATGTGTAGCATGGTCCTGAAAGGGGTACCTGTCCTTCTATTTCTGGGCTGGCACAACCTCTGCTTGCCATGTACACCACCCCGTGGAAGAGTCAAAAAGAACATGCCATGAGGGCCTGGCCCACACTGTGCCTCTGTCCTGTGCCTGATGCTTCCTCAGAGTGGAACCTTGTGCTCCTGCCTCCTGCAGTCAGAGACCTTGGCATGCCAGCCACTATGGTTCTAGGTTGAGGGGTGACACCTCTGCAGCCCACTCAGAGGCTGGGAGATAAAAAAAGGGCTGCTTAGCAATAGAAAGGACATGAGGGAAAAATATTAAGAACAGCAATGGCTAACCCTCCTGAACTGTTCTAAATGCTTCATTCATTAACAAATCATTTAAACTTCATACTTCACAGCTGCACAAGGCAGTCCTGTTATGCACAGAAAGAGGAGATAGGGCAGGCAGGGAGGGGGATGGGCAGGCGACTTCATCAGGTAGCTAACCTGTCTACCCACCGCCAGGCCTGGCAGGAGGTGCGCTTGCCCTGGGACAGCCCAGCAGGATGCTGTGGGCAGATCCTGGGGACCAAACCGTGTTTCTCTCATGGCGCTCAGACAATCATGCAGACATGCAGGGGAGGAAGCAAGACTGACGGGCAGAGGAGCCTGGGGGTCCTCTCAGCCCACGTGACCCTTTACCGCGGGGCGCATGTGTCAGGACACGTCAAGGTCTCCACTAGACAGCTAACCTTTCCTTCAGGGAGAGCTGGGGACCCACAGGAGGGCAAACTCCCTTCTAAGAGGACTTTGGACCCCTACCCAATTTAACCACCTTATGATGTATCCTGAGGTCTTCATGCCCTCCTTCCACCACTATCACTGTGAAAAGAAAAATGCACAGAGCCAGCCAGTGCATGTGAATAGCATTCGAGCAGATGGCCTCTGAGATCACTCAGCTGTGAAAGTTACCATTATCCACTGCGCATTTAAAACTGTTTTAAATTCTTTGCAGCTAAAAATACCATGATTTTTAGAAGACAGGCCTGCTTAACCTCTTCCCCATTTAGTGCAGTCTTTGCAGTTGTGAACTGGGGCACACTGGACAGGGCTCAATTCCTCTTTCACGCCTGCCCCTTCCCCCATAATGTAAACCCAGAGGACCAGTCCACATTTCTTTCTGGATCACCACCTGGGAGATCAGTGCACTGAAACCCAGGCAGGATCCACTGCTTTCTGTCAGGCTCAGACTCTTCCCAGCCACCAGCTCAGAGGATACACTGTCTACACAGCATGGGGCCCTCGAGGCAATGTGCCACCCAGTTTGCAGAGCTGCCAAGGGTCACTGTTGTCAGGCTCATATGTGGCTCCCTGAGCCGGGCTCACCGACAGGAGCTGTGCTAGCTTGCAATATCCAAAACGAGTTCTGCGCTACCCAGTACGGTCACCACTAGCCACAAGTGGCTGCAGGACCTTTCTGATGTGGTGATCATGACTTAGAAACTAAATGTTTAATTTTTAAAACTTAATGAGGGGGCTGGAGAGATGGCTCAGTGGTCTAAAGCACCTACTTGGAACAAACTAAGTTTAGCAAAGCACAGGGACCGCGGTTCGATCCCCCAGCACCACATGCCAGCCAGCCGCGCCCCCTGGTGGGCTGAGTTGGCCACCCACACCCACACCCACACACAATAAATAAATGTAAAAAAAAAAATTCTTTAAAAAAAAAAAAAAAACTTAATGAGAAGCATGGTATTCAGTAGACCCCAGAGCTGTTTTATGACAGAATGAAATCCTGATGTTGCACATCCAGACCGAGATGGGGGACACCAGAGCTCTCGGGTGCCTGAGGGTCGGCCCTGCTGCTCTTGGCTGCTGGCTGTGGCTCTGGCTTCTCTTATGGGTAAGGGAGGGAGGGCATGGACATCAATCAGCCCTGCTGAGTGGGATGAGGCTTCGGTTGTGACGCAAAGGGAAACCTGCTTTCAGGGGATGTGGAACAGGGCACCCCTTCACGGCAAGCTACTGCCGCATCAAGAAGCAGAAACTGGAAGGAAGCAGATGGACCCTCAAACAGACCAGTTTTCTCTGAAAGCATTAGGTTCTTCTGCTTTGTTACAAAAAAGCGAACCGATATTAACCAATCAGGTTCTCCCACTCCCTATTTTTCCCCTTGTTCTTCCATTGGGAGGTCTCATTCTATTTTGTAGAATGTTGGCTGCGCCAATTTAAATCTCAAATTAAAGCCAATTATACCTGTAACTAAATTTGTTTTAATTTTGTCTTTTGACAATATATTACAGTCAAAATTATTTACTTTAGTCAGTGTACATGAATTATAGTTTATAGAAAGTTGATGCTTATAAAAGAAAGCTTTCCAGCCAGATGTGGCGGCACACTTCTGTAACCTAGCCCTCAGGAGGCTGAGGCAGGAGGACAGCTGCGAGTTCAAGGCTAGTGTGGGCTACAGAGTGAGATCAAGGCCAGTTTGAAATATACAGCAAGTCTCAAAACAAAACAAAACATACTTTTCTTAATGATTAAGTACTTGTTTTATTGGCTAGTATGGAGAAAATGACTAAAGACTGTTAATGTGAAAAAGTAAAACATACTGAACTACTTCAGCAGTGAGGCCTGGTTTTTGTTTTTTGGAGGTGACCTTCTCTGCATCTTTGTGCTGTGTGGAATACAATGAATATGACTACCTTATAGTCAGGCAGATGGAACAAAACTTCTGTTTATGTAATGAAGGAAACACCGGGCCGTTTGCCTTTGCATTGGCAGCTCTGACAAGGGGGCTTCATTTTGTTCTGGGTGCAAACGAGAGAAGTCGAGCTGCGGGCAGCAGCCCGTGAGCACCGGAGATTCTGAAGCTGCTGCCGCCTCTCCAGCAGAGCCGACGCTCCCTTCGCATGAGTCCTTTGCTCTTCGGTGCTCACTCTCCTTAGCTGTATGATGCAGCATCACCAGACACTAGAAGGTCCCCCAAACAGAAGAAGGGAACCTCAACTTAGCCCACCCACAGTAGGTTGTAGGTTTGTTACTTTCATCACTGACAATAATTTTCAAGCCATTTCAGTGAAAGACACAAAGGAGTTTATCAGGCAGAGTTGAAAAAACACATACTCAAGAGAGAACAGAAGGTAGGCCAGGGCGAGAGAGGCGTGTTACGGCCTGGAGTCAGGTGGTCTGAGGTGTCCCCACGGTGGATGATGCTCCGCCTGTCAGATTACCACTGTGGCAGACTAGGTCAGAATGCGAAGTGCTTATGTGTGCACGTTCTGCCTTTCTGAGGACTGAACCAAGAGCCTTTGAACTGAGCTAAGCCCCCAGTCTGTTTCTGAATTGGCTTCTTTTTTTTGTGGGGGGAGTCTTGTGAAACTGCTCCGCTGGGCTCAGACTTGCAATTCTCCTGCCTTGTCTCCCATCGTGCTGGGACTATGGGCTCATCCACACGGTCTGAAGTTGAGACAATGCCTACTGACTGCTGCTTCCCTGTGGGTGGAGGGCTGCGGGAGAAGGGCAATTTTCAGGTGAACAGCACAGGGCCAGAGCCCAGTTTACACACCTACTGTATCTTTAAGTCCTTATGGTTTTTCTTTCTTTTTTTTTGTGGGGGATTTGGTCTTGAAAGAGAAAGGGACCTGAGTGACTTTTGTGTCCTGAGGTGCAGTTTTTCTTAAAAGTACAATCTTATAATTTCAATTCCAATCTTTCAATTTCCTTGACTCCTTTCTATTTTACTTTTATTTATTTATTTATTTATTTATTTTTGTATTTTAGGGAAGGGTCTACAGGGTGTTCAGGGTCTCACTACTAGATTGGACTGGTAGTGATTCTCCTGTTTACAGCCTCCTAAGTGCTGGGATTACAGGCATGCAATCTCACCCAGTCTCAATGGCTGTCTCAGTGCATCCCAAGGGTGGGGCCAGTATGGCAGGAACAGGGATCTAACCCCTGGCCCCTGGGCCTGCTTGCAGGCACTTTAATCTGCTGAGCTATTTGACCGGTTGTCTATCTTACTTTTAGCTAGCCAGTTAAAAAAAAAAAAAAATCTATATCTTTTTTTTTGCAGAACCAGGGATTGAACTCAGGCCCTCGTGCTTGCCAGGCAAGTGCTTATTCTACTGAGCCATCTCCCTGGTCCATCTATATCTATATCTATATCTATATCTATATCTATATCTATATCTATATCCGTATCTATATCTATCTATATCTCCCAGCTCTGACTCTGCCAATCATAGTAATGGATCTCGTTCACAGGATGGCCAAGGAGGATGACCAGGAAGTGGCCCTTCAGCTCCATTTGCCTGTACCCACAAATCACTGTCATGGTAGCAGGAACAAACCCCCTTATTGGCTTCCTGCCAGGAAAAATGAAAGGCAATAGATGTTCAAACAGCACCAGCATGGGTTCCTATTAGCAGAAGCCTTTCCAGAACCCTCAATCTAGACTCTTCTCATCCAGCACCCTTTGTTCTGGGCAGGATTTCACAGCTTCTGTGAGCTCCAGAAACAGCCAGTCACTTAAAAACTGTTTTGCAACAGCTAGTCCAGGGCCGAGCAGTTAGGCATTCATGATGCCCTGCTGTCAAGTGGTCATTAGTTTAATGGAGAACTATTAAAAACACATAAAAATCGCAACCAACAAAAATAAACAAAGCTGCCAAAGCTGGCACCTTAAGCATGCAGCAGAGCTTGTGCAGAATGTGACTAATACCCCCTAGACACACAGTTAGAAATACAGAGGTGTGCCCTCTGCCAGTGAGCCCAGACCTTTAACTGACTCAGAGTGTACCGTGACACACACAATATTAATTCTAGAAGATGGTTTTAGATTCAGAATAGAACAAAAAAGCTATGCAATTTATGAAAGGCAGGGAGAAGGCGGCTTTGGACCTCGGTGTTCTCCATATTCTCTCAACTTGGGCAATTCTCATTTGAAGCAGGCAGGTGAAAGCCACAGTGTCTACTCCTTCCCTAGGTGGGCTCCAGTTCCTGAAAAGTGGTTCTCTGCTGTAAGAGATGACTCAAAAGAGTTGCACAAGGCCTTTGCATTGAGAGCTCTTTCCTTTTCCCTTCTTTTCTTGGCAGATGTCAGCTTCAGCTGCTCAGGTTCCAGGGCAAAAGGATCAGGCAGGTGTGAGCACAGCAGCCTGCTGGCTGTTTCCCACAGCGAGGCCAGACTGTGTCCAAGGCTTTCAAAACCAGGTGTGGTGGCACATGCCTGCCATCCCAGCACTCAGGGGGCTGAGCCAGGAAGACTGCCAAGAGCTTGAGGCTACATACTGAGTTCAGGGATGCATGAACTATTACAGATAGCTAAGTTAGGTAGAAATGTTACAGGCAGTCAGGGCAAGGACCTAAAAAAGTTAGTGCAGAACTTAAGAACAGTTATAACCATGGCTGGAGGCACATTCTTTGTTTTTTGTTTTTTTTTTTTTTTTAATTTATTTGAAAGAGAGAGAGAGAGAGAGAGAGAGAGAGAGAGAGAGAGAGAGAGAGAGAGAGAGAGAGTGGTGTGTGTGTGTGGCCAGCTCAGCCCACCAGAGGGCGGGGCTGGCTGGCATGTGGTGCTGGGGGATTGAACCGCGGTCCCTGATGCTTTGCTAAGCTTGTTCTAAGTAGGTGCTCTAGACCACTGAGCCATCTCTCCAGCCCATGGAGGCACATTCTTTGAAGGCCAGGCCTCAAGATAAAGATGGAGCCTCCATACTTCCCAGAGGAATGAACAATAATGATTGATATTCTAAATAGGCATCAGTCACCTTGGGTTTTGGGGACCAAAACCTCCTGGCACATCCCTTCCACGAAAGGTTTTTGTTCTTTCCATGTACAGTTGATACAATGACTTCCTTCTCCATTGGATCAATATTACCTAAGTACATGTCGCATCTAACAGGAGGGGTATTACTCTTACCAGTAGGCACTGTGGAAAACCACAAATGAAGAATAAAGCCGTGCCCACCTGCACACCTGTCCCAGAGGCAGAGGCATGACCACAGAAAAGCACAACCACACTACCTCTGCCCCCAGATTCCCCAAGGCAGCAAACTCCTCCCCTTCCCTTAAAAGCTTCTGTTCTACCCTTACCTCCTGCTGATTCCTTTCTTGGCCCTCAGCTTACTCTTACCCCCACCAGCCAAGTATAAATAGCCAAGGTTCTTACACAAAGTTTGCTCAGGTGTCTCCTCTTCTCTGGGCTTTTAACATTTATATCTTATTGGTTGACCACAGTTTCATCCTACCTTATACCTGTCTTGTGCTTTTGCTCTATAAAACTTCCTTTAGGAAGTGCGGTCATAAGCAACCCACTTGGGATCCCTCCTGTTTCTCAGCAGCTATATTTTTCTCCTTAATAAATATATCCTACTCTTGGGGGCTGGAGAGATGGCTCAGTGGTCTAAAGCACCTACTTGGAACAAGCTTGGCAAAGCACAGGGACCGCGGTTCGATCCTCCAGCACCA